GCCACATCTAGACTCTGCCTTGGCTGTAAACAGAACTCAAACTGTCGGACCTTTCCAGAATCACCAACTACTCAAGTTCTTTGAAAGGTGATTAAAACAGCTCCAGGTCTCTCATAGTTAAGTGCATCCCAAATCAGTTTCAGCAGATTTTCAGGCTGCTTAAATCTCACTGCTAGGTGTCTGGAAGAAGCTGGGCCATAACCTGGTAGCAAAGCTCTCACAGACAGGAGGAACCAGCTGTCAGGAGACTTCTGGGGATCTTGGCTCAGCTCCTTGGTGTCAGATGGCACGTGGGAATAAATAAGGTGCCACAGGTTTGGAAGGAGAAAAATAGTTGACATCAATCTCAGATGTACTGCTGTACGTTTGCAGCATTCACTTTTAAAAACCTTGCAGTTCCTCCATCCTTTCCAGCAATTATGGACTCATAGAATGGCTTGGGTTGGAAGAGACCTGTAAGGTCATCTGGTTCCAATCCCCCTGCTATAGGCAGGGACATCTCCCTCTAGACCAGGCTGCTCAGTAGGCTGGCTCAGATCACCTGAAAAACACCATCTGCAGGGCTGATCCAGGAAGATTGACAGTGCTGAGCAAGGAAAGTTCCTGTTCTGATTTCAGTGACCATTTCCCCCAGGAAATCTTTTAAAGCACATTGGGGTTGGAGTTCTACTGCGGAAAGAGGTGCAGACTCTGCAGTTCCAAAATTACACAGTGACCTTAATTAGAAGGTGTAATTTTAACTTTGGTGCTTCTGAAAACCTAAGAAACCCAAATCTCTAAGTACTTAGCAACCAGTAGAATGCTGAAAACTTGAGAGAAGTGAGATTTATGGTGGTGGATGAGATACACCCAAACACCAAATGTCTAATTGTCACAGGGAACCGTTTATTAGAAACATTTATCTGTATCCCCTGTCAAACCACATAGACATAAATTCTATAAAAAGAGTTGGATGCTCTCCCACTTAAGTGCTCTTCCACTCTTCTGCACTTCTCTTTCTATATTTTATCTTGCCAGAATGGATGAAAATTATTGAAGAAATAATATATAAATCAAAGCAAGAAATGTCCTGAAAGGTGACCTATGGTTTCAGGGAACAGCTCTACCTGCAGACCAGCAGTGCTTCCTGGTTTGATCATGGATAACTATTATTTTGAATGTGCTTTTTCAGCCATTCAAGCACCTGAGTGACAGAATCATAGAATTATTAAGGTTGGAGAAGATCTCTAAAATCGAGTCTAACCATCCACTTACCATCAATGGTGCCCACTAACTGATTTCATTTAATCCATTGATTTAATGATATCATATGAGATCATAGTATTATTTCATGTAGGATGAAGTATCTAATTTATCTCCTATTAGTCGTGGGGAAAAAAAAGAATGGATTGACATAAAAGCAGCTACAGCACCTACCAAGAATAAATTATCACCTTATTGCCCCTGAGTTCTTATAATTCAATTTCTCCCAGCATCTTTCCAAGAATTAGTCTATAATTCCCTGGAAGATTCCTTTTTATACCTTATTCTTGTGATATATTTTCCCTATATCAAGATTAGCATTATTATTTGCTCTTGCCCAGTACTGGGGCACATCTTAAATGCCAGCACTCTGCAATTAACCACCCGGATTATAATGCGATTATCATCTGGGTGTTGATTTCTGCCTGGCCGTGGCTGTCAGCCAAATGTCATCATGCACACAATTAGCAGATTTACTCCCTGGCTTACTGATAACAATGGAAGCACAAATAATTCATAGGCAGAGGCATCACTGCTTTGATGTGATTGAACTCTGATCCGCTCAGCACCTGAAGGGATGCGGGCTGAAGAAGGGTAGCCTCATTAAAGTGGAGAATAATGAAAACAAGGCGAGGAGGAAGAGGAGGAGGCAGGGATGACCCATGCTGGGCGCTGTGACCTCTTTGGGGCTGGGTCCCGCAGCTCCCAGCCTCCTGCCATGGCACAGGAACATGCAAATTCCCGGGGACGTGGGGAGAGGCAAGGAAAACCCATGTCCCAGACTGAAATAATGTCTCTAATTACAAGGCTGCCTTTTTTTTCCTGGGGTTAAGGGAAATTCCTGATGAGACGTTTCCATCTGGTTCGCAGTCCCTTTGCGCTGGGGCAGTTCAAAGAGGCTGCAGTGTAACTGAGAATTGAGGACAGCATTTATTTATAGTTGGATCATAAAAGCTGGAGAGCTGAGCTCGCAGCAGTGCACTTATTTATGTTTTAAGCAGCACCCCACTGCTGGTAAAACATGTGCTGTAGCTCTGGTGTAACATTAAGTGTGGCTCTTTGTAAGGTTCATGACACAAAGTTTAAAAAAAAAAAAAAGAAAGCAAAAATAAACTAACCAAACAGCTAACATGTAAATAAAAGTAGCAGCCAGAAGTGGAGAAAAATTAACAGTGCTGCTCTGCGATGAAGTAACATCGATGGAAGATTTGTACCTGAATCCATTTTTCACACTGCAAGAAATACCCTGAAATTCTGACTCTAGTTCTTGATAGCGTTACAAAGGATTTGAGCCTTAGTGTGGGGCTTAGTAATGACATCCCAGCCTCTGGCACCATCTCAGTACAGTGTCTCACTGCAAATTGTGTTTGTATCACATTTATCCTTTTTTTAATATTAGTGTACCTTCTTTTTCCTCTGTAACCCAGAGGGGAAAGCAAAGCAGCTTCATTTCATTATTACCCTTTAATAGTCTTCCCAGTGATACATGGGAGAATATTAATATCCTTCCAATGACCTCACCTAAACACTGCTAAAAGCCAGGAAAGGAGCGACAAGTTTGTAGCTAATGTAGGGGATGAAATTCTGGTTAATGAAAGGATTTATAGAATCACAGAATCATTTGAGATGGAAGAGACCTGTAAAGGCTATCTGGTCTGACTTAAGTGATGGATGTAGGCTATCTCCATCACTGGAAGAAGAAAGGAACAGGCTCTTTAGGAGGGTCTGTTGTGGTAGGATGAGGGGAAATGGTTTCAAATGAGAAGAGGGAAGATTTAGACTGGAAATAAGGAAGAAGGACAGTGAGGCACAGGCTGCCCAGAGAGGTGGTGGGTGCCCTGTCACTGGAGACACCCAAGGTCAGGCTGGATGGGCTCTGAGCACCTAGTGGAGCTGTGGGGTCTCTGTTCATTGCAGGTAGGCTGGACCTGATGACTTTTAAGAGTCTCTTCCAACTGAAATGATTCTGTGATTTTCATGAATGATCACATAATTAGTACCCAGAATTGTATGTGAACAGTCAACTGTGCTGTACTGCTCACACCTTAGAAAGAAATGGCTGTGAGCATTTACTGTCGAATATCCAAATTGCTTCTAAATGAGCACGTGGAATTTGCAAATCTGCTGAACTGTGTAATCAAAGACAGCATTATTCTTAAGAATGCTAAATTAACGGTGAAAGAAAACTTCAAGGTGGCCAGCAAAGGAAATGAAGTCATAACTCAGTTCTACACATGCTTCCTGATATGTATAAAAGTCTGAAAAAGATGGTGCTGATTAATCATCTCACTTGTTCTTCACACTGGAAATGCACATTTTGTCCATTACAGGGAAGGTATGGGATGTGTGAAGTTACAGGATCAAAAAGAAAAGCAGAGAAGTTGATCATTTTGGAGAAAGAAGCTTGGTTATTTCAGACTGTTGAACTTGACTGAGGCCTTATTTGTAGGGAACGCTTTCATCAAGCTGGAGAATGAGCAGCCCAGTGAATGGCAGTACAGCTCAGCTGCTTGATATACGTGTACTCATAACATGATCTTTCAGTCATGGAGTAATCCCTTTATCAAAATGCAGTGAAAACCAAACATTATAAAGTAATAAAATAGCTAGAGGGGAAAACAACAATTGGCCATCTAATTACCACAAAGGATTAAGAAAAGAACATCTGTTTCAAAAAAGGCTTTTGTTGAATGTAAAGACTGCTCCATAGGTAGATGAAGAGCTAACACCTAAGGTTTCTTGAATTTCATTTTAGTGTAGCAGGAAAAAAAAAAATCCACATTCAACATTATTTTTTGTGCAAAATTTATTATCTTTTATTGATTTTAGATATTACTGTAAGAGCTCAGAGCCTGGCCCATGTTCATATTGTGAAATTAGTGTTTTGTCTTCCAAATCCATTTTTAAAAATCTGATAACCCAGACTCATGTCTCAGATGTGTTGCTTCTAGTTCCAAATTTAGAATATGGAAAGAATTGATAAAAATTAAGGAAATGTGAGGCTTTTAATTTAGCACTCAAAGTGAGGAATCTATTTAATTTGCTAAAATAGAATGACGACCACTTCCAAAAACAACTGGACAGCTGAAAGAGTAGGACTGAAATGTACAGTATAGCTGCAGTTATCCTCTTCCTCTTTGGAAATAACTGTAATATTTAAATTCTTTTGGTCTGATTCTGTAGAAAAATCAGATGTCAAAGAATTTCATATAATCATTTTCTATGTTGATTCAGACTTCTTTAATGAAACAGACTATTTTATGCTTTCCAGATTAGAAAAAGCAAGCTCAATCTGTTGTACCAGATCCTGATGCTGCAAATTTTAAGCTAGTGAGGAATGTTACTCATTTGAGTAGTCTCATTAAGCAATTCATACCATGCTACAAATGTGTTTCAAACATGGTTATACTATAGCTTTAGGACTTGTCTGGGCATCAGTGATTCATGACATGATTCCTTACTGCATTTCTGCCACAGAACTGTCTCATTACCACATTAGAGGCAAAAACTGCGAGGGACTGCTATCCCTTAAGTGATGGGTAGGCTTTATTCTCCTATTGACAGCTTTTCCACTGCACCTCACATTCTGGGTAATCTGAAAACTCATGAGGTTCACTGAAGGGCCCTGAATCCTTCTACAGATTGCCAGGGAACTGGGTTGCACCAGTGGCTTTATTTCCCACTGCTTTGCAGGGGTGTAGATCACTGTAAAAAGTAACGAGAGAATCAAGTCTGATATTCTTTTTCTTCTTTTTTAGTCTTGTGAAAGTCTTGAAGTCTGTCTCTCTGGACTAAACTCCTAGTCTGAATGGATCTGTGAACACTGAAAAGGCACTGCTCCATCCCACTGCCCAACCTAAGGGAGATGTTGAGAATACAGGGTATTTCAGCACTGAAGCACTGACTAATTTCCTTTGGGTGCATGTGAAAGACAAAACTTGAATATCCCAGTAAGTTACACCGCGACCTTGAGTTTATTAAAGTCAGTGGAAATCTTTCACTTGATTTTAATAAAAGAGGAAAAGAGGAAGAAGGAAAAGGTGGCTGGAAAAGATCATTTTGAAGGGAAATTTTCTTTGATTAATCACAAAACTCTTGGGGAGGTATTGAATATTAAATGGAATATTAATGATCATTTGGAGTGTTTATTATTATTATTTTTTAAAGTCTGGAGATCTTCATCATGAGTTCTTAGCATAATTTTACATACTATTCATATATTACTAGTTTATGGCACCCTCTACAGAATGATTTATCTTTAGAAATGAACAGCAGTATTAATTTGCCTAGTGATTTCTTCTTATTGAACCGTATTACCCTTCTATCTCTAGAAACATTCTGGATGAAGACCTTGAATTCCAAGGAGATCTAAAAAGAGAAAGTTTGGCGATTAATCATGGATCATAGGACTGAGGAGAAAAGAAAGCAACGCCATAGCTTGACCTTACTGGAACAACTAAAAAGAATGAAAGAATCATCAGAGATAGTTGATGTTGTGCTAGTTGCCGAAGGTCAGAAATTTCCCTGCCATAAGGTGGTACTAGCTGCCTTCAGTTCCTACTTCAAAGCCATGTTTACCTGTGGCTTGGTTGAATGCACTCAAAGAGAAGTGGTACTGTATGACATGTCAGCAGAGAGTGTGTCTGTAATCCTCAATTACATGTACAGCGCGGATTTGCACCTCACTAACCAGAACGTGCAGACTGTTGCTCTGGCTTCGTATTTCATGCAGATGGAAGATGTTTTCAGCTTGTGTCAAAAGTACATGATGGACCACATGGATGCTTCCAATTGTGTGGGCATCTACTACTTTGCAAACCAGATTGGAGCAGAAGATTTATGTGATCAAGCGAAGAGGTACTTATATCAGCACTTTGCTGAGGTGAGCTTACAGGAAGAAATATTGGAGATAGAAGTCCAGCAGCTGTTGACTCTTATAAAATCAGATGATCTGAATGTTTCCAGGGAGGAAAGCATTCTGGACCTTGTCATTAGATGGGTGAATCACAGCAGAAAGTCGCGTGCAGAACATCTTATCAAGCTCTTGAAGGAAGTGAGACTGGTACTGGTCAGCCCTTCCTTTCTCATGGAAGCCCGCAAAAGGAACACAGTGATTCTGTGCAATTCAGAATGCAATGATATGTTTGAGGAAGCGTTGAAAAGCATCAAACTAGCCTCCCACCCTTCTCTCAGCTTGAGATATGGCATGGAGACTACTGATCTCTTACTCTGCATCGGCAACAATTCGCTTGGCATTAGGTCAAGACATGGGAGCTATGCAGATGCCAGTTTCTGCTACGCTCCTGCAACACAAAAGACTTACTTCATTTCCTCTCCAAAGTATGGAGAGGGTTTAGGAAGTGTTTGCAGTGGTGTTGTCACTGAGAATAATGATATTATTGTGGCAGGAGAGGCAAGCGCCGCCAAAATGTCTAGACAAAAAAACAGGAACATTGAAATTTATAGGTGTGTACCCTGTCAGAAATTCCCTGATTATTTACAAATTTTAAGTCCAAAAAATGTTTCTGAGATCAAGAAAAGACCATCACACAAAGCGTTCTTTACCTGAGAGTTATCCCAGAGATTTCGACTGCTCCAATCAGTTTGTCACAATTGATCTTCACAGTACAAGGAATCATGTATCTAAAACCAAACCCTTGTGCTTTTTCTCCTGAAGGAAGGAGGGTTTACACAGTGGAATCTTTGTGTAAATAAGCTTGATTAGAACCTGCTTTGTTGTATGTGGATTCTATATTCTCCCAGTAGAAAGCTCCACATATTACTAAGGTTCTCTTTTTGAGGTCTGTAGTGGGGATAAATGTGTCAAGTGAATGACCTAAGGAATCCAGAAGGGGAGAGGTAACAGTCTTATCTGAGAAATCCATGTTGATGCTCAGAGATGAAAAGATAGACTGATAATTTAAATCTCCTTCTATTTTACTCAAGTCTTTTTCAGATGAGCCCCTTTTAAAGACAGCCATAGCTTTTCTGGATTAAAGAGAGAATTAAAAATAACTTTTCAAACACAGGTACCTGAATTTAAAGAAGTAAATCCCCACAGGTCAGATAAAGTAGCTCTATTTTCAGCTGTGCTGAACTTCTGCTCTTCCCACTAACTTCAGTGGGGAACAGTTACTGAACAGCACATGCAGAAAAAAAGAGTCAAATATCTTTGAAAGAATGCTTAAAATTGGGATACCTAATTCTAAAAATGCTTGATTGTGCAAACAATGAGGCCAATTGTATAAACTGTCTATGAAGGAGAAAGCTCCTCTTGTCATCGCATCACTGAATAATCATTGAAGATGAAGGGGATAACATTTATAAACAATCATATGAGACCACACTGAACCACGGCATTTACAGCTTTGAATTTCCCTACAGATACCACCAGCGAGGAAATCAGTTTTGGCACAGCCTGTGCACCGCTCAGTTCCGTGAACTCTATGCACTGGGCACTGTCCATAATGATCTCTATGTGATCGGAGGGCAAATGAAAATCAAAAATCAATATGTGGTCACAAACTGCATGGAGAAGTACTCCATGGAGCAAGGTACCTGGAGAACCACAGCACCTCTGCCAGTGCCGTTAGCCTGCCATGCAGTGGTGACAATGAAGAACAAGCTCTACGTGCTGGGTGGCTGGACACCACAGGTTGAGAAAAGTGCCAATCATGTTTCAGGAAAATGTTTGCTTTTTACGTTATGCAATTTTATGGTGCTGCTTGCATGGGAAAATAAGTTGCTCACATTGTTTGATATCTTTTCTAGGAAAACCAAACAGGGTAAAAAGGAATAATATTCATAATAAGTCATCCTCACTGAAAATACCAACTTCAAGAAGGGCAGTTCATTCATGAAGACATGCTCAGTGAGCAAGATTTCAAAAAGATTGTTTAAAAACAACAACAACAACAAGCAAACAAATAACACCTCCCCTCTCCACCCCCCTCTGAACAACAACAACAAAAAAAAACCAAAAACAAAACTAACACTTCCTTAGATCCTGTCTAAATCTCCACTCTTTTAATTTGAAGCCATTTCCTCTTGTCGTATCAAATGCCTATTTGGCATTTTTTTGTCATTACAGACTGAAAAATTGATTAATTGCAGTCTTTCCTCTTCCTATACACTGTCCTTTTAATTTTGCTGTGTATCAGTAAGTAATGTTCTTTAAACAATACAGAGCTCCTTAATTTATTTGGTTTTTATCGTATTTTAAATGAAAAGTTGAGCCATTCTCTGAAAAAGAGATTCCTGTAATCCACTCATTTTTTGTTTCAATTGCGTTGCTTGGCCGTATGATGCTTTAACAGTTTTCAGTAGGGCCACAGATGCCATTTTCAGTAGAACAGGTAATACACAGAATTATGCTACGAGGCAGAATCATAGAATCACAAGGTTGGAAATGACCTATAAGATCATCTAGTATAACCCTCATTACCATTGCTACCACTAGCACTAAACCACATCTCACAGCTCCAAGGCTCTCTCCAGTCATTCCCAGTGTGAAAGATGCTTTTTAAGAGTTTAGTTAATTCTTATTTACTGCTCAGTGCAGCTCAGTTTTGGGCATTTAAGAAAAAATAAAAACCATGTATTTGACAGTGGTGTAGAGCACCTGTAATTGTTACTGCCAACTATAATATTTTCAGACTGTCGTCACATCTCATTGGTTTGTGATCACTTGAAATACATTACTGTTTGAAGTGCTTAGATGAGATGTATTCAGCAAACAGGATTTCCAGCTCTTTGGATGTTTACAGTGCTGAAGTCCCCAAAAGAGACAACGGAAAGATCAGAGAGCCTTTCTCATACTAAAACAACAGAGCAAGGACACCTTGCGTTTTAAAGAAGTAAATTATGAGAGCAGGTTTAATGTAGAAACAATCTGTCCACTAAAAAAGAAAGAAAGAACATTTGAACTGGAAGATATAACAGATACAAATGTGGAAGTGAGATCCAGCTTTGTTTGTCTTAACAGATCTCCAGAACAGATTGAAAGGGGAGAAAATGGTTTAGGTGCACAAACTACAAACACTAACCCAATGTTAGCTTTAAAAAATCACCTGGGGAATGCTTAAAATTCATACCTGATAATCAGCACGTGTACACTAACAGCATGTGAGCGTGAGTTCATACAAAGCAGTCTGGAGCTGAGTGGACTAATGCTGATTGTCTCAATACTACAGCTTTGTAACAGCAAATTGTCATGTGTATCACTGCAGAAGTGACGTAGGATGTGAATTTAGAGCATGTCATATGGTGTCTGCTCTTAAGTATATGCTCACTCTGTACTGAAAATACAGTTTACTTCTTTCTCAGTGAATAAATCAGTATTTCACACCTATCATGGAGAAAAATGTGTCCCTGGGCACTCTAATGGAGTAATAAAGAGGTTATATATTGCCTGTTAGTTTGACTTCTACTATCTTGTACGTTATATCATAGAATCACAGTATCATTAAGGTTGGAAAGACATCTAAAATCATCTAGTCCAATTGTCCACTTACCACCAATATTGCCCACTAACTGCTTCCCACTAAACCATTTCCATCAGTGCTAGAAATTTATTTTTGGAGTAAAAAAGAACAAGCAAAGCAAGGGCACTTAAAGCAGCTTTACAAGTAAGCAAAGTAGTCCTCTCCTATCTACATGAAAACTTTAATCCTGGAAAGTTTCAGAATTCTCACCACAAAGCCTACTGCATGCAGCCAAAGCATACTGGGTATGGCCTGAATAACAGTGAAAGTGGAAATTCAACCATTAGCAGGAGAAAAGATACAGCAATCTTTTCCCTCTATTATTAGTAGTACTTCATAGGAGCCTTGTAAAAGAAGGGGCCAGAGTTGGGCCCAATGAATATATTGTTATTACTCAGCTCCTTAGCTTTATTGCTACAGAATAGAAATTCTCAGCTATTCATTTGCCTTCCACAGCGTACTGCCAGCCACAAGTCAGGGCTGCTGTTAAACCATCCTGCACGCGCATCGCTTCACAGCTGTAATTGATGTGTTTATGTTATTTATCTGCTCCTCTGCCTGCTGTGATTAATTGCACGCAGGCATGTGCGGAGGGCTCCAAATGTTGTATTATTATATGGCTGTCATATTTCATACAGATGGATCTGCCTGACGATGAGCCGGATCGATTAAGTAACAGAATGTTTCAGTACGACCCGGGCCGAGACAAATGGGCAGAGTGTGCACCAATGAAGTACTCCAAGTACCGCTTCAGCACAGCCGTGGTCAACAGTGAGATTTATGTCTTGGGTAAGAGGAAAGAGATTTTTAACAGATAGCACCATGACTTTGTCTTTTTTCCAGCAATTTGCTTCTGTGAAGAAAAATATCTCACCCTTTGCTTTGTAGGACAAAGTATGTTGGATTAAATGGGTGGTATTTTTGGGGATCCATTACTTCCCTACATAATTTCTTCCTTCCTTAGTGCTTGAGGATTAAAATAAGTGAATAATGCTTAGTGTTCTGAATTAACATAAGAAAGGTACTTTGTTTTTAAACTACTTTTCTTTGGAGTGCTGATGGGAACTATATATAATAATAAATTTTATGAGTAGGGAAGCCCTGACAGCATCATTTCACAGGTGAACAGTGGGAAGCTAACATGCCCCATGCCAAGAAGAAATGGCACAAGGAAAAAAGAGAATTTGGAGCTCCCAAACAAAACCAAAATGGTTTGTAGATTCTGATAAAATTCAATGAATCATTCTCTTCCACCTCTCTTCCACCCAACTCAATGCAGTGCATTTTTGGAAAGCCTGAATATCTCTGTTATTTTTTAAATCAAACTTTTCAGTTTTTTCATTTCAAAACAGAAGTTTGACCAGAAGTTTTAAGTTTTTGTGGAAGAGTTCCGCAATCTCCTATCCCCAAATCTTTTGTCCCAGAATAATTCTTGGCATGTCCCCAGTTCTGCAGTTCATCCATAACATGATTCTTCCCTAAAGCAATTCTTTATGGCCCCTCTGCCCAAGTCAGTAGAAAGAACAGCACCTGCTTTTAAACACTAATAGACAGCTCTGAAAAGCAATTCAAGAAGAGATTTTTTGGAGAGATAATGATGGTTAAAGGCAGGAAAGTGCAGCCAGAGAAGAAAAACACTTTGGACACTGGCAATTATATGGGAAAAAAAGCTGAAGGGGCATTTTGGAAAGACAATAGGAAATACAAAGTTAAATAAGCAAGTAGGAGAAGAATTATAGATAGATGCATTGCTGGAAAGTGCCTGAAGAGCAGAGAGAGAAATTTGTGCAATTACTCCATAGGTGAGCTGTTGGTTGTTGATGTCCTTCCATGCTTATTTTCACAAAACTTGTGAGGGCTCTAATGTTAATAAATCTGTAAAATTTGGCTAAAACTGACCAATGGAGTCAAAAGCTGTGAGAGGAAGACAAACAAAGAACACCCCTACTGTGGGTAATTGCATATGCCTTGTTTCCTTAGGAAATAAAAGAATTTTGCAGCTCATTTTTTAATTGAAAAATAAACCTGACACGGAGCCAAAAATGTTTTCTCATCAAATTCTCCCCTTGGATATGTAGATTTGAATCCACATTTTCTCTTTTGGTGGAAGTAACATTTTTCTCCCGAAGTTAAGACGACAACATAGATGGTAAATGCTAGCTGTCATAGTCTGAAAATTGTGGAGTAGTCTGAAAAATTTTCCAAGGCCTCTAAAAATGATGAAGGTTCTTCCCATAGAATTCTGTCTGGAAACAGCAGTGCAGTCACTGATACTGAAATCTTACTCTGCTGCTATTGCACACAGTCTGTGCCCCAGTTGTAAACTTGCATGGCAAAAACCTGGCACAGAAAAGATTCAGTTCAAGGTTCATTCATGTTGACAAAGGCTTGCTAGCTTGTAAATTCTGAGACTGTTGTGTTGAGAAGTAGGTACGGCTTTCCTTTGGAAACTATTGCGATGGTATACCCAGCTGGGTATGTGTAGCACCAAAAGGAATACAGTGAAAGCACTCTAAATCTGGCTGATGTGGCACACTTCTCTGCCATTCAGGAGAGGATGGGGATGGAAGGACTGAGGTTGGCACTGACAGACCAAAGAATACCAATTGCCATGAGGATGAAAAGACCATTGCAGACTGTTCAGAGCTGTGGATCCCTCAGACATCACTGTGTCTTAACAGTGTTACGCATCATAAGAGTCTAAAGAGATGCTGTCAAGGGCAATTTGTTCAAAGAGATATGTTCTGAAGAGGGTCACAGCCTGAGGGTTGTCTTCATGTAGTGAGTTCAGAGACATCTGTGCTCAGACATAGTAGTTAAGCTTTTATTCTACAGATCAGCAAGACTTTTGTAGAGTTTCTACCCTTGCCTTTTCTACAGCTTCTCATTCAAAATGGGGATTTCTCACGGTGAAGTGTGTGCATAGAACCTGAACATCTAACAGGCTCCCACATAACCCCAGTGTGTGGGACATTCATTGAAGGGACAGCTGAGAAGCATGCTTCGTAGCAACACTTGCATTCCCACAAGTGTCACCCACTTCTCGTGTAAGACTTGTAATGCACAGCTTTTAGCTTGGTATATAAAGTCATCCTGCAGGTAGACATGAGTTAGGATAAAGAGGTAATGGCCTCAGGTTGCACCAAGGGAGGTTCAGGTTGAATATTAGGAAAAATTTCTTCTCAGAAAGAGTGGTATTGGCACAGGCTGCACAAAGAGTGGTGGAGTCACCATCCCTGGAGGTGTTCAAGAACTGTGGAGATGCGGCACTGAGGGACATGGTTGCAGGCATGGTGGGGGTGGGCTGGGGTTGGACTTGGTGATCTTGGTGGTCTTTTCCAACCTTAACGATTCTAAGGTTCTGTGACTTCTTTCAAGCATCTCTGGGCAGATATTTTTAAATGATGCATGTTTGTCAGTTCTTTCAGGTAGGATCTCTGTTTTCCCATAAAGTTTGTACAGGTCTCAGCACATTCAGGATTAAGCATAAATGAAAAATCACCTCACAAAGGATTAATCCTCTCTAATATCTCTGATGTATGAATCCAAGTTCTATCATAAATGTGAAGCAAAATGCATAGATTGAACGCTAGTTTTGAACGAGGAAAAGTGACAGCCTTGATATGAGTGTACTTTTTGCTGCGATCCTTGTAGGTGTACGCCTGTAGTAAGCAGTCTTTTGATTTCAGTGGCGTTGTGTTAGGCTCATTTTGTTCTAACCAGATCAGCATCTGATGCTTATCCACTGAAGTATTAGGTTTTGAAAAGTCCTGTTGGCACAGAATGTAAAGTACACAGTCACTGTCCAAAAACCCTTCCCAGCCTAATTGCCAGCGCCAGCGTGTAAAACCCTAATGATTTAATGGAATTATTCTAGAGTCACACTTATGGGAGGGAAATGAGAAATTGATTAGAGTTTTTTTTGTCTGAATAATAGCACTGTGCAGGAACTTCCACCATGTGTCTTAATCAGCAGTCCTGCAGTATAATTGTTGTGTAATATTCCTAGAGAATCCTATGCTATTTATACAGCGCGCACAAACCTTAAAAGAAAATGAACGGCATTTCCTAAGGCTTAAAATCCTTTCTCCTTTTCATCCCATTTGACTGTCTTAGCTCTTTCTCTCCATATTTTCCCAGGAACATAACTATATTCATTGGAAAGCCCAAGAAAGAGCAGTATTGTGTTCTTAATGACAGAGGCAATTGAGATACTTTTGGAAGAAAACCAGAGGGGAGGGCTCTATTTAAGGTCATGCATCTTAATCTCTTGCTTAAAAAAAAATATCCTTTGCAGCTAAGACTCTGAAAACTCATTGCAGCCAATGGATAAATTAGGAAGATTTGTCCAAATGTGGATAAATTAGGAAGATTTATCCAAATGAGCCATTTCTATGCTATATTCATTAGCTTATAATGAAACTCATTCTGCATAACTGCTGTCTCTGAAATACGGGTCACTGATAAAAATATTGAACCACCACGACAGCCTTAACCATGTGTTGCTTTCATGTTGTGTAATTCCTGCTTTAAAAATAAGAACATATAGGAGGACTTAAATGGGAAATCCTATTAGTGAAGATTTAGGAATCAAAGAATTTTTGTTTATCCTCTTTAGCCTGGCATCCCACCTCTTTAAAACTTGCTTGGTGTTTTTTTCCCAAGTTCTTGCCAAAAGCTTCTCTTAAAAGTTTTAAGCAATTAATTGTGGTTCAGTTAAGAACTGAAAGTCTCAGTCATAAAATACTTATTTGAATATGCATTTTGGGGTCTCCTTGGAAAGGAAAGCTTGTGTAGGAGGGAATGGAAGGAAACATTTTAGCTTTCAGGTTTGAGTATTAGCCATGAATCTGAATAATACCTTCTTCTAAAATAAATGTGCCTATTTTTAGATATGCTTTGGACTTCTGACAAGTAGCAGATTATGGGCCTGATTCTGCTGTGCTGTACCTGTGCCACAGTTCTGTGGTGCCTGTGTGCAGGAAGGGATGAAAAAGGCAAAATTTGATTTGATATAAGAGATCAGAAATGCTCCCCACTCACTTAAAAATAATTAAAGGAAACAAGAACGAGGCACCATGGGACAAAAGGAGCTGGAACTGAAATGTTCACCGTGCTGAGAAAGACAATTGGCTGGTGGTTTTTTTTTCAGCTATGCTTCTAATCAATCTTCTGCCCTTGTGCCTTTTACAAACTGCATTACATCATCTGCTTTGCTCTGTGTTAGTAAAGAATGACAGCACTTCTCATCTCTGGAAGTGCCTGCCAGGAACAGCTTTATAGCTCCCTCATTTCTGCAGGAATCCAGTTACGCAGCCTTGCTTCTTGAGAGAGCAAGCAAGCAATGGAAGCGCTGAGACTCTCAGCTTGAGTGCTGTTAAAGAGTAATGAAGGGAAATGTTACATAAGAGATTTACGCTATTAAGCCCATTGTGCTTCCAGAGATCAATTTAATAGTGAATTATTTTACGGGAGGCAAAGGAGAGCACGAGTTTGGATTTCACTTGCATGTTGGAGAATTAGTCTTTTTTTTTCCAACCAAGTCACAGAAATGACAGTAAGAAAAAACATTGCTCTGTATTATGATCTGAGTATTTAATTATATGGCAAAGGATCCCAGTAACAGTGCCCTGATCTCAATCACCCAGACCAGCCTCACCTGGGGCCTCTACCCACAGCCTCTGCCGGTAGGTCCAAGGGCACTATTTAAGCACAGGGCTGGGAAGTCATTAAATTTTCATCCCCTTCTTTTTTGCCTGATGACTTCTGGGCTGTTGGTGGACCCTTTGCTGTTGCCTACTTGTGCAGCTATGCCCCAGTGGTGAGCTCACTGTGTTGCCTGGGACAAGCTTCCCTTTGGGAATGAATGTTTTTCTGACGTGCTGCTGTAGCTGAGGGATGTGGGTCATGCTTAATTTAAGCTGTCTGTAAGTGGGGGAACCAAGTTAACTTTAATGCTCGTTTCCTAGCGCCCAAACCTTAAAGGCAGTGAGGCACTGGCAAAGGCTGCCTAGAGAAGTGGTGGGTGCCCTGACCCTGGGGACACCCAAGATCAGGCTGGATGGGCTCTTAGCACCGATGGAGCTGTAAGTGTCCTTGTTCATTGCAGGGGTATTGGAGTAGATGGCCTTCAAGGGTTCCTTCCAACTCAAACAATTCTATGCACATATATTCATATATGAAGTACTGATTTCCTTTGCATCTGCTGAACTTATTTTTGCTAGTGACTACCACCTCACAGCTCTTATAGGTGTTCTCCCTTATGCACTGAGAGGGTGTTCTGTTATTAGAAGTGTTGTGATGCAAATTATATTCAGCCTTCTCTAATGAGACTGGGGCAAGAAGGAGACAGCTGGCATTAAGCAAAGCAAAATTATCTGCCTTCAGCCAGCTACAAACAGTGCGTGGATACAGCAAGGCACAGGATGGTACTTCATTGAAATGCTGAGGATGTGCTAATCGCATCACCTACCTCTGCTTTGCCTTCTTGCATCAAAGGCTTGTCTTTTCTGTTCTGATTTCTTTATAAAGTTCATATATATTTCCATATTATTTATTTTACTAACGGAGCTTCATGTTAAATTTAAAGTCTAGTAGAACCACTTCTTACAGAGTGCCCTTGAAAGTATGTGTGGTTGCAGAATCATCCAAGCATGATATGGAAAGCACTCAAGCATTAATGGGTTTGGGAACACAAAGGTGACATCACTGGCTTTTTTTAGTCCTTCAGTGGCATCTGAAATATCTCCAAGGGAAAGCCAATAACATAAAAAGCCTAATGTGTTGAAAGGGTGTATTTGTAACGGGTGGGTAGGGGAATGGCTGAGTTCTAGGATTAAATCCTCTTGTGTGATGAATGTGAAAATGACAGAAGTGTTTGAAACTCCTGGTGAGAAAACCACCTCTCCCTGCTCAAAGGACACATAACTGGGCTTTACTTAGGGAACTAAGCCAGGTGGCATTGAATTCCCCTGCTCTGTGACAAGAGGGATGACTGCGGGTTACTGAGTCACCCTCCCCAGCATCTAATGCAGTCCTTAGCCATGGAAATAGCAATTGCTGCCCTTCAGCACACCTGTTGGGGCTCCCAGGAGGTTGTGACCATGGCATGCAAATTGTAATGACCCTATTTATAGCTCTGTGTGGTTTAAAGTACAATAATACAATTGCAAATACACAGTATTGACCCTTTCTTTACCATGTGCTGCTAGTAGGGCACTTAGAATCACTGAATCGTTAAGGTTGAAAAGGACCTCTGGGATCATAAAGTTCAACTGTCTACCTGCCGCCAATATTGCCCTCTAAACCACATCCCTCAGTGCCACATCAACAAGTGTCTTGAACACCTCTGCTTGGCATAGTCTCTCCCAAACAATCTACAGCCCTCTGCCCTTCTACTGCTCTCCCTTGACCTCCTAGAGGCACCTCTGTTCTGCATAGAAGCCTCTATAGGAACAAAGCATCAACTCATTCGGTCAGCTTTGGCACTCAGAGAACACAAAACAGACAACCTTCTTGATCTTAACTGCAATTCCATATGCCTCCGCTTGTACTCCTAATGGTTTAATAAATCTCTGCAAAGAAGGCAATGGGACAGGATGAGTTCTGGGTTCTGTGAGTGGCTAAGCACAAAGCAGCATGAATTGCCTGACACAGCAAGTTTATTTTTTCTGCCAATTTCGAGTCTTGCGTGCTGTACACATTGTAGGTGATGGATGGTCTGTTTAATGTGAGATGCCTCTACTTGGTTGCAGATGTGATTTGATTTCGCTTTGAGAAATTTTCTGGCTGATTTGTGTATTCAGCCTTTTGGGAAGAGGCCTGAGAAGTTGGTCTCTGTAGAGGAAAAAGTATTGTCTTGCAGGAGCATTTCTGAACTACTATATGTGGGAATAAGGCAAGGCAGTGCTGGTAGAATCTAATATCCTTGCATTCCTTTGTTAGCAATATTTCAGTGTTAGCATTGTTTTAAAAGAGGAGATTGAAATTTTCTGTGAGTTTGATTTCTTGTTGTTTAAAGCTTGAAAATTAGTCTTCCTTCTGATTTTCTTTCTCATTTTCTCTTTGCTGAGAACTTAGCTTTGTCTTTGTTGTAAATTGAACATGAAATTGGATTTAACTGGAATGGCTGTTGAAAGTGGAAAATAAGTTGGAGATATCTTGTACCTTCAGGAGTGTCTGATTGCGACAGGATTAAATGAGGTCGAATTTAGGTTGCCTAAATTATCCAATGAAGGTTTTGTAAATGTTTGAGAATGTGGTAGCTCTTAAACTTTTGAAAAGATCTCCAATAGACAACTAAAGATTACTTCTCTGATAATTGTACAGGGGAAATGCTTGGAGCTGATCCCCTGGGCTGGCAGCTGCGTGTCTTCATTAACTAGTAATGGTGGTGATTTTTTTGCAAAAGGCACCGACTGCGCTGTACCTCATTATTTCTTATTTCTGAAGCTGCCACGCCCCACGGTTACTGAACTTGGCAATGACAGTAAAAATACACTAAGAAAATAGCAAATAGCAACTAGGCTTATAGAAAATGTTCTGGGGGCATTTTAAGCACTGGCCTACATGAAATATTTAGGCAATCAAAAAGCTATTCAGTTATTTGAGTCTGATATGCCACGTGTATGCCTCAGCAGGTATCATCCATTCCTCTGCACAGCACCCTCTTTCATTCCTCAGATGAAGACTCTTCCTCATGGATACATGCCTGTTCTTCAGTGCAGAACTCAAGTACCACTTGAGCAATTTGAAAAGAGCTTGGTAACCTGCAGCAGTCTCTTTGGCACTGCAAAGCTGTCTCCTGAGCAGATTGAAGCAGTCTATTGGGAGCTTTAACATTATTTGCTCTTAATGAAAACTACCTTAACTGTCTTTTTGCTACACTCCATAGATTGTTCTTGCCCTGGTATCAAGTTGCCCTATACTCTGATTTTAAGGATACTACAGAATCAAAGAGTGGTAAGCTATCAATTAAATAGCTTTATCTAAAGCAGAAGATGTCTGAGTACTCCTTGAAGCTTTTCTTGATAAATTTAGGAGAATGGCATCATGTCCCATCCAATGCAAGTTAATTTTTTGCTAGTTTCTTTATTGAATTCTATGCTAAGCATTGGACAGGAAACTTCCAACAGGGTTAGAAATGTTTTCCTGAATGTTAGGGCTTTCAACTCACCAAGCTTTAGTAGTTACCTTTTTGCTGATAGTTGAACAAAGTAATTACCTACCAAGTGGAAGCACTGACATTGAGTGTTGAGGTAACCATGGCATGTATGTATAAGTGCTTGAGAAATTCAAAAATTGAATCAAACACTGCAAGTTCAGCTGGAGGAAAACTTCCAGCTGAGGTTAATGAATGCTGAATTTGGTTCTCAGTTTGTTGCTCTCATGGGATGTTTATTCAAGTAAGGATGTTTATCTTGTCCTTACTTGAATCTAAAATACAGATCAGGAAAAATGGTGGTGGCCAATTTGGAGTATTGTGATCAACAGTTACATGTTCTCTTGCAAATATCTTCAGAGAGTGCTGCCAAGATTGGAAGAAATAGTACAGTCTATATGAAGAGGTAAATGGGGACTGGGGGGCTAGGGGGCTAGAACTAGGGCTCATCTCTCTGATAGACAAGCTTAGTGCAGTGCACAGTTTGTAAAACTGGGATCTGTTTCAGTCCCACACGTGGAATTCAGGCATCCTAATTAACCTTCCAGCAGTGGAGCTTGTCACAAATAACTCAGTTGGTACTCCTGCATATAGGATGGTTTTGTCTCTTTTGCTTAAGAATGGGTATAACCTTTCTTTCGTTTAGAATGACAAACCCAAATAGCTGTTGGTTAGCAAGTGAGATTCATGTGCACTAACAGTAACTGGGAAATAATTTTGGATCCACTGCAACTTAATGACAAACTCCAGCACACGAAACATAATCATGACAATTTATACCACAAATGAAGAAAACAAGATAAAATACCTTTGTGTTTTGAAGACATGTTTCTTGTCCTTCCTTTGTTACAAGCTCTCAGAAAGGATCGTGCTGGATTTCTGTAAGTAATGGGTTGTGTCCTGCTTTAAGTTCACTTTCTAATGATCTTTCCGAGCTGCAAAATGAAAAGGAACAGGAGGCACATGAAGATGTGGAAACAAAACAAAACAAAAAAAGATGCAACCAGTAATGTATTTTCCTGCAGAACCTGGGGCTGCTACATTTGACCTACGTATCCTTTTTCCATAGGAGGAATTGGGTGCCTTGGCCGCGACAGGGGGCAGACACGGAAATGTCTTGATGCAGTGGAGATTTATAACCCTGATGGAGACTTCTGGAGGGACGGACCTCCTATGCCTTCCCCGCTCCTCTCCTTGCGAACAAACTCTACCTGTGCAGGCTGCGTGGAAGGCAAGCTGTACCTCTGCGGAGGATTTCACGGAGCAGGTACTCAAATGAGTCTGAGATTCTTTGCCCAGTTGAAATAACTTTCCCTGTACGCAAGCTGACCTGGCTGAATAACCCTGTCGGTGGCACTGGCATGCCCTGGAGCCACAGAGCTGAATGAGTCCTTTGGACTGCTGACTCCTAATGTCAATATGCATTGTGTTCTGTTCATCCTCTCATGCTTTTTCCTTATCAAAGCACGAAAAATTAGGGATGTTTCTGATCAGCACTGAATCTTTTCAAAACTGTGAACTCAGCAGAATTCTTCTGGATTTACATTCAGAGCCATTAAGATCAGAATCTCAGCGTATGTTATGGACGTGAAAGAACTTGAGCGTATCTGTTGGAGACTAAGGCATTATTGATCTGTGGTAGCTGGCTCTATTTACTGACATGCTTTTCATTTTCAGTGCTGGAAAACCTTGTGCATTTAATCAGTAACCCAGGTTGGGAGCTGAGGTACTAAAATCCCTGATCTGGTGATTTCTAATCCCAGCGTCACGACCACCTTTCTCCCTTCATTTTCCTACTGCCTAAATCCCCAGCATTGTTAAGCATTATATTCTAATTATAAATGCAGAGAGCCTCTCAACACATCCACACTTACTCTCCTGCTATGGAGCAGCTGCTACCCCTATTTCCTTTCTGGGTGATGGCAGAAAATGCAGATAATGCAGAAATGCATTATGCACTACTAATACATGTCATGTCAGGCTCACTGCTGCCCAGGAATGTTCACGTGGTGTCCCTGGGAGATGTATCCTCCACATGATACTGACTATGGCTGTGTTGGTTTTTAGTTGCATTACAAACTCTGTGGTTGCTCTGTTTTAAAGTGATTGCCACGTCTTAGTTCACAGCTCACCTCCCCTTTGTTTGCTGCTGCTTGAAGAGGCTGCTTCCCGCAAACAGTTGTACGGCAGGCAGCTCACTAACAGGCCTGCATTTATGCCATCTCTGATGGAAATTCTGCAACCTCAGAACTATTATGTTTATGATGCATCGTAGCATCAGAATGTTTGCATTTCCATAGCAAACACAGTGTCATCATATCTGTCTTTTTCCTCAGCAGTGTAAGGAAAAAGCCTATTCAGTCAGTGGGTTTACATCTCAAAAGGCTGATCATTTTCACTGGAAAATGAAGCAATTTCATTCAAGATGACTAACAGCTTAGTATGAAGTTTTCTGAATACGATAGCTTCAGAGCCATAAAAGTGCTCTTTACAGTACCATCATGTTCTGTCTCTGAGTCTCATGTTAAGAATGGTAGTAATGGGAGAGGTGGGAAGTTCCCATGTGGGTTTCAAGCTGGCCGTCTTCTGTATGTACATACAATGCCTGCTCTATGGGTCCTGACTCCTGGCTGTGTCATTGCAGTCTATATTATGATTGTGCATTGAGCTCCGCTGCCCTAAAAGTACTGTTTAGATTAGAAAGCAATAAGTTGGCGTTAGAAAATGTCAGTTTTGCTGTTACCTGTGCAACCTGACCCCGCTATGCGTGCATTTTGTATGCCAGTGGAGAAAGAGTGATTGTGGTGTTAGACATTGTGATGTCTTTTAAAAGGGAGCCAAAATAAGATTCTTACTGTCAGCTGTAAATCTGGTATATCCAAATGCCTGAGGAGTTGAGAGGAAGCTGTGCCTTAAAGATAGGCTTCTTAATGTGACCCTCAATTTATTAAAGGAAAAGGGTTGTTTAAATCTTCATAACAATAGCTTCTAGTTACTACCATCAAGGAATAGATGTCTGGAGTTCATGTGCTGAACCTGAAGGTTATCTAGCTGGCTTCTTTCCCTGTCCCTGTCTCTCTGCATGCTGGAAGGTGCATTGTTCTTTAGGGGTGAAGGCTGGAGTGAGGGATAGAGAGTTATTAATGTCATGTGGGAACTTGGAGAGTGGCTTGACTTTTTCACAATTACAGCTGCTCAACAGATTCAGGATATTCCCAGAACAGCATGTGCTGCTGCTTTGGTAGCAGATAGGGTTATTTTAGAATGTGCTTGTTTGGTTTTAGTCTTTTGGGTTTCTTGGCATGCAACTTCAGTTTTTTGTGAGGGATGCAACCAAGAGAGGATACTCCAATTTTACCAAACATTGTAATTTAGTTTCAACCAAGTGGAGTTTTTGGAACAAGCTGGAGGCACAGCTGTAGGCTCTGTTTGCTGCCTGCTGAACTCTAAAAGGCTGCTGTGAACACTTGAGTACAAGTGCTTCTCAAAAAAAAAGCAAACAAGCCCAAGATATTGCTGTGCTGGAAAGTCTTTGCCAGCGTATATAAGCAGCTGTGTATAGGGACCCTCTATGTATTGGATATCTGTCTTCAACTCCCTCAATCTCCCTTTGCATTCATTTAACCTCGCTCTTAATCCAACACTGTAAAAGGTGCTCTAATAAGGATGTTATTCATCTTAATTTTACTTGTGTGGGCACCATGCTCTGCGTGCCTTCCTGTATGACCATAGACCTGAATGGTTAATTAGAGGCCAGAGATGCTATACTCAAACACAACACTGAGAAATAGCTGCCAAATGCCCAAAGGATCTTAATTTTGGATGAAAAGACAAGATGTTGCCCTTTTGAGATTGCCCTGTTTGACACTCCTTGAAGCTTTGTGATGGCAGGAATTGCATCCCACTTGTATTGCCTACCAAATCTTTGCTTGGAGGAGAAGTGGAGTAGCACTAATAGCATCCCCAGGAGCAGAGGAAGAAAAAGCAGAAATTTAGACTTAGCTGGGGTGCCTACATGAAGACCTTAGCGACCCCAGGCTCCATGCAGCCTATGGAGAAGCACAGACACTTCCAGAGGGACATTCATCTCCTTGCTGCTTTAAGTCTGCTCTGAAAGACAAGAAGGCAATTCGGAACCCTGAGAACCTCTTGTCTCTTAATGCTTCATGTTTCTATCAGCATATGAGCACTCAGAGTTGGCTTACCTAAGGCAAATCTGTTGGGATCCTGGCGTCTATGGTTAGATAGAACAAACCACTCTGAGACCTGCGTTGGAAACACCTAGAATCGTTAAGGTTGAAAAAGACCTCTAAGATCATCCATTTCAACTGTCCACCTACCACCAGTACTGCTCATTGACCACATCCCTCAGTGCTACATTTCCATGGTTCTTGATCACCCCAGGGATGGTGACCCCACACTCCCTGGGCAGTCCGTCCCTATGCCTGACAACTCTTTTGGATAGTAAGTTTTCCTAGCATCCAACTTTTGCTTGTTTTGAATTCAAATTCCAGTTTCCTGCTTTAGCATGGCTTGCCATACATCGTCCATTAGCCCATTGTTTATATAAATTAGATCATTTTCTACTAAAACCACTATGACAAATAAGAACCAACACTGCACATCTCTGGTGCTCAGCTCCAGCTCACGTAACTGAGTGGCATGAGTGTGTTTGCCTGCCTTTTGTTAGCAATGTTGTAGCACTCAGCAAGAGATTCAATAATGTTTAAAATCATTGGGTTTATCCACTGGTTTGTAGTTCTGCAGAGTGAAAATGACAGCCGCAGTATGAATATTCAGAAGGACCCAGTGTGCAGCAGCCAGCCAGCTTGCCACTAATTGCTAAAATATGTTGCTGCATTTACTGCTGTAGCTATGGATTTTAAAGCAGCCTTTGCAGACTGAGCATAGTGTTCTTGTTCATGCATCTTATTTCCTTTGCCTTTACATAGCTCTAAAACCTGACACCTGCACAGGTTGGCAGCTATTAATGTGAAGCTGGGCATGGCAGAAACAGACTCATTAGTGCTCCTTGTTGGAGGAGGGGTGAGCAGCTCTGCAGGTACGCAGCAAGCACTACACACAAATAAATGCCTGCCACATTGTATTCTCTTTCCCTTTGACTGCTTCTAAATATTACAATTTTTTTTTTTTTTTTTCCAGTGAAAAGAATGAAGGCAAGTGTGTGTTTGCTGTGACTGCTATCAGCTCATGGAGGCACATACTCGATGTCATGCTGTAGCCTCAAAGAGATCTCACAGCATGTCTCTGGGGGCTGGGGCAGGGGGAACAATCAGCAGGGCTCTGTTTTCTTGATCATAGCTTTAGTCTATAGGTGTTAGTCCAACTGTCTGCCTCAGATTTGAACTAAATTCTATCATATTTAAACTTCATTGTAATTACTGTACTCCCATGTGGCATCAGCTGGTGTGCAAAGCAAAGGGACAGCCACCTCAATTCAAATAAGATGCTTTACAGGTCTGCTGGTAGTGGCTCATGCCACTTAAAACGCCTTGTGATTTTATCAGCTATTGCATTTGATGTGGAACTGCCTTTCTCTGAACTGGCTGTTCTGCCATCTTTCTTCAACGCTGTTCATAGAGAAGATAACGTTTGCTGCTTCCCTACTCTATATGTTAAAATTCTGTGTGGGGCCAGAGCAGCTCAGCTCAGATCTGCTATTTACTTATCACTGCTATCAAACAGTAATTCATTTTTTCACTCCAGGGGTATTACTGGTGGCGGGAGGAAAAGGGGAAGAGATGCCTTTGGACTTGGAGCACAAGAATCTCAATTTTGTCTGCAGCTGTTAGATAGGTGATATGGTAACAGTCTGCTAGCTGTGTAACTCTGATTCTACCAAAAAAAAAAAAAAAAAAAAAAAAGTATGCTTACCCCAGGTGTGCTTTCTGGCCTCTTCTTCCCTATTTACATAAATTGCAATCCATGTGCTGGAATAGCAGCAGCACTGCTTGAGGCAGCGCAGAGCCGGGTCATAATTACTGTATTCCAGCTGAGCTAATGAGTTTGCATCTCCATGCCACCCTCTCCTGACAGTGGACTAGCTTAATAGTTATTTATTTTGACTAATCTCCCATAAAGGCTGTTCCCCTCAGCCTCATCCATTATGTGATTTAGATGGAGAATCGTTGTAATGCCTGTTTTTTTTTGTTTATTATAGTGGTTATGGTACATTACTGGAATCAAATTAAATCTAGACATTAAGAAGTCTGGCACAGTAAATACTAGACTTGTGAAGTTTGGGGG